ATGTAGCAGAGAATGTGAGAGAGAGCTGGGAGGTGAGAAGATGGAGAGGGGATGATGGAAAAATAGAGGGAGAATAGAGAGGGTGAGGGAACACAGAGTAAAACAGCATAAAAGTATAAGAACCAACATTCCACAAGGAATAGAATAAGAGCAAGAAATAAATTAGAATCTGGAGCAGGCTATAGTCTTAAAAAAATTAAAGCAGGTTCTTTTTGCAAAGTTCTTAGCTGGTGTGAGTTGGCATAGGTCCATTGATTGCAGTGGGGCTATGCTAATTCACAGCAATTCAAAATCTAGCCCAGAGGCTAGAAAATATGTATACATGCTGGGACTATGATGAGCATCTTCCCTTTTCAATAAGAGATAGCGTTAGAGAGGTAAATCCCTAGAGTTGCTTGAAAAATACTTGAATTTCAACTTCTTTTGTCAAAAACAAGGCCACATTAAGTGAAAACGTTAATGAATTATGTCCCGACTTTTCAGTCAGCTATAGCAAACATTTTTCTCCAACTCTACTCCCCCCCCCCCTTTTTTTTTTGTCCAGGGGAATTTTATTGTGAAAGAGGGGCTGAAAGAGGAGCTGATTGGGTAAGAGGGAGGGTTCCTTGTTTGAAAAAGAGAAAGAACTGGCATTTCTCTCTTCTTCCACTGAACTCACTGTGACCAAAACTCTCCTTGGTTTTCTCACCCTCACCACTTCAGCAATAGGTGTATTGTTTTCTCACTTTTCAAATCTGGTCATGCCTAGGCTGCTGCTGTTGAGTTTCATCCTTTGATCTAGAAAAACTTAAACAACTAATAGTCTTGCAGCATCTTAGACTAAAACAACATGTAGATGGTAGCATGAGCTTTCATGGGTACAGCCCAAGTAGACTATTAGTCTGTAACTGGAAAAACTTAAACTACGAACTCAGCTACCCCTCTGAATCCTTTCATCTAATTAGGATCCCTAGAGCAGTGTACCATCTGTGTTTTAAAGCCTTGTCAACTGGTTTTTTTCTCCTTGCTTGTTTGCTGTCCTGTGATCATTTTTTCCCCCTTCATACAAACTACACAGATGCATATGGGAAAGTCACTATTATTTTCAGAATTTATGCATAGTAGTATCTGAGCAGCTATTGGTTCTGCTTGCAGGAAATAACTAGGATAACTCTGCGGTATCAGGTGGTAAATAGTGGCTTTTTAATGTTTATCACTATGCTCCTTTTAACATTGACATTTTTCACTTTATATACCTGCTACATTATATATAATGGACTAGCCCTTGTCAAGGCACTCAGGGTGTTGCATGAATAATTTAAAGTAAAATGTAGTTTAAAAAGAGCACAGATCAAATCATATAAAAGAGGATTAGAAAGCCAGAGGATGTGCTGCCAGTAAAGGGGAGTTGGAAGGGAGTGGTATCTGTCACGGGGGGCCAACAGTGAATACAAATGAAAATATTTTTCTGAAAAAATGGCATTTTCAGATGTTTTAAAAGTGAGAAGAGTTGACTTGAGGCAGGTATTCCAGGGACTAAGGAATTTAAGATAAAAAGTTAGGACCTTTGAACTGGGGGTGGATTGAATACAGATATGCATCATGTCTTCTCAGGTATAGACATTCTTCCCTATTAAACTAACAGGGCCAGCTTTCTCTCTGTTAATTCAACAAAGCCTATTTAAAATCAGTCCATCACTTTAAAAGCAGCAAGTATAAAGAGTGGAGATTCACTTCTGTGGGAATTATGTGCCACCACCAAGCATGTGAGAAATTCATATCCCCCTTCTGATGATTTTTTTTTCCCTTCAATAAGTTGAGAGGTGCTGCAGTTTTGCATTTTCGTCACTAGGGGCTGCTGGTGCTAGGGAGGAGCAGCCAGATGCCGAGAGGGAGGAGGAGAAGATGTATTCCCCACAACACTGCCCACAGGGCCAGGTGAGGAGACCCAGGTTATGGATGGGACTGACAGAGTGGGGTATATGGGGCTTCTGGAAAGTCACATAGACTGGGGTTCAAAAGGAGTAGTGGAGAAGAGATGGGGCAGGAGCTGATTAGGAATTGAAGTGCAGGGCCACAGGGGATAGGGTCACATGGGGATGAGGAGGGAGGTGAAAGGACATGGGGGAGGCAGGGTTTGCATGGGAGGCTCCCCCATTCCATAACAATTCCTTCCCCCTCTTCCCTCCTCCCAAAAATAATGTTCCATACTTTTCCCACCCACATCCTATAACCCTCCAAGTTCATTTCCAGGCTCCTTGCTAGCATTTATGTCCCTCTCCCTCAGCTCCTCTAGAAAAAAAATGTATGAAATTCAATAAGGACAAATGCAAAGTACAGAAAAAAAAATGTATGAAATTCAATAAGAACAAATGCAAAGTACTCCACTTAGGAAGGACCAATCAGTTTCTCACACACTTTTTCCAAGGCAGTCATTTCCCATTCTGTATTGCAGAAAGTGATCTAGGGATCATAATGGACCACAAGCTAAATGAGTCAACAGTGTAACACTTGCCAAAAAAAATCAATCCTCATTGGGTTGTATTGGCAGCAGTGGTCTTGGGCAAGATACAAGAAGTAATTCTTCCACTTTACTCCATGCTCATGAGGTCTCAAATTGAGTGTTGTGTCCAGTTCTGGGCATCACATTTCAAGAATGATGTTGGTGAATTAGAAAAAGTCCGGAGAAGAGCAACAAAAATGATTGTCTAGAAAATGAGCTATGAGTGAGGATAGAATGAAAGAATTTGGTTTGTTCAGCTTGGAAAAGGGAAGACAGGGACTATGATAATAGTTAAAGTACATCAAGGTTGTTACAAAGAGGAGAGAGAACAATTGTTCTGATCCTCTGAGGATAGGACAAGAAGCAATAGGTTTAAATTGTAGCAAGGGAGGTTTAGGGTGGACATTAGGAAAAAATTCCTATCAGGGTGATTCAGCACTGGAATAAACTTGTCTAGGGAGGTTGTAGAATCTCTCTCATTGGAGATTCTTGACAGCAGTTTAGACAAACACCTGTCAGGGATGGTCTAGATCAGTGGTTCCCAATGCAATGCCCGCAGGCGCCATGGTGCCCACCGGGCCATTTCTGTGCACCCGCTGAGTGATCGGGGCCGGCCCCACCTCAGGTGTGCGGCAAAGGGGCAGTGCCGGTCCCAGGTGTGTGGCGCATGGGTGCTGCCGACTCCTGGGCCTACGGCGTATGGGTCCCACCCCCGGGTGCCCGGCAGCCCCAAAAGCTTGGGGACCACTGGTCTAGATAGTACTTAGTCCTACCATGAGTGCAGGGTGGCTAGATGGCCTTGGAAGTTCTATGATTACTCTTGACTCCCCCCAAGCCTTTGCAGGAAATACAGTTCTGTATTCTAATTTAAATTACTACTCAAAGTTCTGTATTAATACGCCTGATATGGAATCTATTAAAAAAAATTCTGAATCCTTTTTGGTTGTGTTACAGACAAACTTGCTGAGAGGTAGTATGAAATAAATTACCAAAATAATTGAAACAGGCATGGTTATACTGTGGTGTTCTGACAAAATTAGCAGAATTTTAAAATGTGAACATTTTTAAATTTTTGGCAGAGAATTTTTAATTTTTGGTCCGAATTCCCACAGGACTAAGAACCATGTGCTCACAGCTCATCAATCCAGAGAATAGGGATGCTGCTGCATTCAGCACTTTCTGCAAGTGGTGGAAGAGGGGTGCTCAAAGGAACTGGGAAGGAATTAGAATAGTTAAGTCTTGAGGTTCCATAGGCCTATGTTGCTGTTGTGGGGTTATTGCAGTTTGGAATATGTAGGCAAATTATTTAAGGCATTCATCATAATTTGGGATCTTATTTTCCAGCTGGTTTGAATTTGTCAGGTGACAATTTCTGCTGAGACTGTGTCAAATTGCCTTTTTATCTGCATCTGTCACAGGATACTTTGAATGTTGATGGGAATGGGATGCCACATTGTGTTATGCAACTGCAGTCCAGCATACTTCAACTGCAGTCCAGCATAATAGAATATAACTGTGTTATGCAACATACTTCAACTGCAGTCCAGCATAATAGAATATAATTAAAATAGTCTCCCAAAGGCAATTATTTCATACCTATAGTGTAAGATAATCAATTCAGTAATTGCTGCCTGAAAATAATTTGTTGTCTGAATAGCAATGGCAAAACAATTAAAATAGCTGTTTCATTGTAGAAAAATATAATAATAAAGTGTCTTCCTAGCAATCCAGTCTGTTGCTGAGTCATGTGCTGTTTCTCAATTCAGCATAATTTAGTGTGTGAGAAGAATTATAATGCTTTCTTTTTGCAGTTAATCAGCATCCCTGATATTAATGGCTTAATATCTCTTGCTGATGAGCAATGCATTGTGGACGAGATTAAGTGACTGTCATAAAGCATTGCTGACGAACAAAAGAAAAGTTTTAATCATGACAGTGAATTTTAAATATGTCCTCGAGCTGTTCGAGGCATTTAGCTATTTGGTATGGCTGATTTATCTTTCCACTGTATTACTAGCAAAGGTGCACTAGTAAGCTAAATTTGGTGTAGGGCCAAATAGATGGTAAATGCCTTTGTCCCAGAAGGTGGTCCGACCTGGAAACCACCATATCTATCACTGGCAGATTTCTCCAGTCCGAAATAAACACAGACACGAATATCAAATTTAAAATATATATTGAATACAACCGATAGCAGTGTAAGAATGAATAAACCCAGAATACAACACTGTACAAAGAAATCCAACACCTCACCCTCTGAAATAATAGGGGATAGCACAGTATAAAGGCAGACATAAACTATACTCAGTCTGTCTAGGATGGAGGTGACAGCTGAGGCGCAGACCTTCAACCCTTTGGCTCAGGCAGCCTCAGGGGAGAAACACTGAGGAGTCCACTTGATGATGCTCTGTCGATGGTGGAACAGCACGTGAGTAGCACACACACCTGATGGAAATGTTTAGTCCTTGGCTCCGGGGTTAAGGACTTTCACCACAATAATCAGAGTGAAACTAGGTGGTATGCTTGGTTCGGTGGTGCAGATAGCTGGAGCCCACAACACTGGGCTATCGCCACAGTGGTGAACTGAAGCACCCTGCTAGCAGCTGGGATGGTGGTCTGGCCTGGAGTAGGTCCCGGCCTTCACCACGATCCTTGGGAACAGCAAGCTGCTGACGAACAGGAAACAACAAACCGAAGGAACCCGACCTCTTCAGGGAGCTGCGCTTATAAAGATCCCAAGGTGGGAAAACAGCTAGAGTATCTCTAGTGCACAAGGTGTGGTGTTGAGTGCAAACTAGCGTTCCTGGTGCAGAGCAATAGTGCTGTGTGCAGGTGATGGTTTTGGTGGTAAAAAGGTCTCTCAGTCCTTTGGGTTCCATTTTGATTTCTGTGTGGAATCCAAGACTCCATTTTGATTTCAGTGTCCATATGATTATAAATGTCCTTGATCTTAAACTAAGTTACTGTCAACAACTGGAAACTTTTCTTCCCTCACTAATTCAGTGGCTTTACATGCCAGGTGTTTAACTGTAACTAGTACACTTGAGGGTAGTGACTCAGTCCCTGGTGTACAGCAGTCAGGAAGTGTAAGCATGGTCATGCATAGATTCTGATGCCTAGGAAGTAGCAGCTTTTCTTAAGAATATGTGGGTCTGGGGATAGAAAAAGCATAAAGAGCTTATTTGAGCAGACTTCTGTGATTTAGTCAGTGCATCATTTAGTGCAAATGGTGGGTGGCCTGAATTCTCCACTGGTAGAATTCTGCACTGATGGTATTCTGCAGTTTACTTAAAAACTTGCCAGCTGTCTACACTGGCCGCTTGAATTTCCGCAAAAGCACTGACTTCCTACTGTAAGAAATCAGTGTTTCTTGCGGAAATGCTATTCTGCTCCCGTTCAGGCAAAAGTCCCTTTTGCGCAAAGCTTTTGCGCAAAGGGGCCAGTGTAGACAGCTCAGATTTGTATTCCGCAAAAAAGCCCCGATCGCGAAAATGGCGATCAGGGCTTTTTTGCGGAAAAGCGCTCCTGGATTGGCACGGACGCTTTTCTGCCATCCGTGCCAATCTATACGCTCTGTTCCGAAAATGCTTTTAACTGAAAACTTTTCCGTTAAAAGCATTTCCGGAAAATCATGCTAATCTAGACGCAACCTGCATGTAATTGATAGAAAGGGACAGATAAGGTTATGGAGATTGTGCAGCTATCTAACATTCTAACCATGTAGGGCAAATGCAGGAAAGGGGAAAACAATAACAAACTGGAGAACAGGTGAAGCCAAGATATGCTAACCTATATTTACACACATTATTCTTTCTATTTCATTCATAAATGATTTGTTGTTCCTCTTTCTTTGTGGTCCGGGAGGGAAGGGGGGGGACACATTTTGCTTTATCTGTGTGTGATTTATTAGTCTTTCCTTTTTTGTTTTTGTTTTGTTTTTGGTCTGGCTGAAGCAGCATTTCCCTCCTTGTTCTGATTGACCTTTTTCGTTGTGCCTGGCCTGTTGTCTCATACATTTTTCATTTTTTTTCCCTCTACCTCTATTTTTCCCCTTCATCAATCTCTAGCTACTACTTCCTTCCATTTGTGATCATTTTCTCATTCCCTGGTCAAGGTTTGCCTTTGCCTTGCTAAAGTCCACTGTTCTAATTGTGCAGCAGTCCTGCAAATTGAAATTGACCATACTTTTTGTTAAGTTTTGCTAGGAGAGGGCATGCATATATATATATTGCTGAGCAACCATGCATGAGGTTAATATGGCTTGCTGCTTTTCCTTTGTGCTATGTGTGCATCATGAGTTGCACCTAAGAGCTTAATACATTTCATGTGGTAAGGAAGAGGTACAGAAAATGAGGCTGCTCACAAATTCAGCCCTGCTCAAGTACTTTGCTGGACATCACAACTGCTCAGAAAATGGTAAATATTCTCTGGGAGA